CTGAGGTGAGGAGTGGTGGGAGTGAGTACTGGGTCACCGTGAGTGTCTCGGAGATGTGACAAATTGCCCCACCAAAGGTCTAGACCTTCGTGGGACGTAAGACCTTGAAGCCACTTATTACTTCTATTATTATTATATTATTATTACCTGTTATCTGTGGAACACTGGCTCATAGAGTTGCCGCTAAGATTCATAGTGTCTAGAAAGCACTTTCAAATGTTTGGCCACAGCGACTTCAGTGCTGCTGGTGGCAGCAGGCAGGAGGCTCATGCTGAGCCCCAGGGACTCTCTGTGGTAGAGAGTGGACTGCCGGGACAGGATAGGCAACTAGGCTGTGGTCTTCACCAGGACCAGGGTCCACCACCCACCTTCAGGTTACAGGCCTGGAGCGAGCCATTTGTCCCACGCTTCAAGCTTTCAGTGGACAATGATTATTCTTTGTTTTGTTGCTTTGATGCATGACGATGACAGTTCAATCGCTCTTTTTGTCACCTGGGGCAATAAATGGAAGGCAGAGGCTTGAATGGAAGGAAACTGAAACTGGGACCCCCTTCCCCCAGGCTCCAGCCTATCCAAACAATGTGCAGCAAAAAGCCCCAAGCTGAAACAAAACAAAGTGCACGCAGCTCTCCTGGGGGCGTTCATAAAATGCGGGCTCGGATTTAGTGGTGCGGAATGGGACCTGAGAGTCGACAGTTCTTGCTTGATCCCAGGTGATGGCAGTGTGTAGTCCCAGCTCCACGTTTTGAGTAGCAAGATGCTAATTTGCATTGTGCAATCTACCCACCTGTGTCAAGTCTGCAGATGGTTCCACAATGTCCTGTAATCAATCAAAACATGTCAAAAAATATTGAGATGTGCTTGCAGGTGTTAAGTACCAGTGACTTTCTAGAAGCTAAAATGAAAAAAGGAATATAAAATATTTCTTTATTAATTTCTTCTCTGTATTGACCATGTGCTGGAATGTTATCCAGGCCTTTTCTTCCACATTATCACTGGGTGGGTTTGTACCACCCACCTTTGGGTTATTAATCAGGCATGAACTGCACCCTTTTAGGAAACTTTGAGGACGGCTGGTGGTGCAATGTTTACGTGCTGTAGCTGCTACCGGAAAGCTTAGTGGCTTTAATTGCCTAATGTTTCCTCAGGAAATAGACCTGGTGATTTGCTTCTGTAAAGATTCAGTCACTCATTGATTGCCATGGAGTCGGAGTTGACTCAGCACTGACCCTCCTGAGGCTTTTCTGAGATTTATCATGCAGGAGGAGAATGTCCCTTTCTCCCAAGGCATGGCTGATGGTTGCAAACTGCCAGAAAGGTGTGACCTGAGGGTTAGTGGAACAATTCCCTTTAGACTACACTATCAGACCTCCCTTTCTGGAAAGACTGTTGTGTTGTTATGTAACTAGAGTCAGAACAGACCCTCCTGCCGGGTTTTCAGAGGCAGGGGAGCAGCTGGTGGCCTCGAACCACATGCCTTCAGGATTACAGTGCAGCTTCCTGCCACTGGGCCACCAGAGCTCCCTTCTGTAAAGACTACAGCAAAGAAAACGCAATGGGGACTGTTTCACTCCGTCACCTGGGATGATTAGAACTTGAAATCGACTCAAGGACAACAAACAGCAACATGGATCTTTTCAATTACGTGTATGGTTCATAGAGGGAGCCCTGGTGGTCCAGTGGTAAGAAGTTGCCCTGCCAACTCAAAGACAAGCAGTTCAAATCCACAAGCTGCTCTGAAGGAGGGGGATGGACCATCTCCTCCCGAGTGATTTACAGCCCCTGAAAGCCCCCTGGAGAGTCAGCTATGAGTCAGCTCCTACTCACCAACAACAGTATATGGTTCGAATTACTCATTGCTTCCTGTTGTTTTTGTTGTCGTGTTCTATTTGGAAGAAGAATATGGCAGTTGCCCCACCACCTCCATGCTTGATCACTTCCTGAGAAACTTGATAACATCTAAGCTGGTCCTATCAAAGACCAGACAGTGGATCCTGATAAGGGTCTGAGCTTGGAAAAAAGGTGCTAAAACCTAACTTAATTAACATGTGAAATACTATCTTAGTTCTACCCAGGACCCCTATAACAAGGACCCCCCCCAATCCTGTCTGCATGCCATGCTGCTGGGTCACTTGGCGTCCCTCTCAGACCGCATAATAAAGGACTGTTCATTTCTTGGGACCAATTCCTTTCTTTCTTTCTCTCCTCTGATCCTCGTGCTCTTTTTTATATCTAACACTATTGAGTTTGAATCGATCCATAGCTGACCCTCTAGTGGGATTGTAGAGGCAGTAAATCACACAGGAGAAGACTGTCCATCCTTCTCCCAAAGAGAAGCTGGTGGATTCGAACCACGTGCCTTTGGGATTGCAGTGCGGTTTCTTACCACTAGACCACCAGAGTTCTAATCAGTAAATTTCTACGCCCAGTGGAAAACATGTGGGACTACTCACTACTGATGTGTAAGCACACACAAGACAGCTCCTGTTTACCTTGCTTATTTGGTAATCTGCAATCATCCCCAGAGATGGATGGGATGAACTTCAGGTTCATCAAGGACAACTAACTGAGTGGGGGGTGGATTACAGGGCAGAATTGGCATGACAGGACGAGCCTCTGCAGCCTCGATGACTCTTTCTTTTTCCTCTGACAGGTAAAAGGCAGCGCCATGAGACTGTGGGTGAAAGGCCTGCTCCTCTGGTCCCTGAGGGGCTCTCGAAGATTCTGTGGTTCCTTAGGGAAGCCACCACCTCCACCTCCCTCCCAGAAGATTGTAGCCACCTGGGAATCCATCAGTCTGGGGAGACAGCCGGTGCCTGAGTACTTCAACTTCGCCCACGATGTGCTGGATGCGTGGAGCCAGATGGAAAAGGTGAAGTGGCTGCGTCCTCCTGTCCATTGTGACCACTTGAGGCCAACCTTGGGTATGCCACGAGACTCAAGGCTGTGAAGAAAGTAGTGTTGTTGTTGTTGTTGTTGTTGTTGTTGTTGTGTACTATGGAGCTGGAACTGATCCTCCAGTGGGTTTTTGGAGGCGGTAAATCATACAGGAGGAGACTGCCCAGCTTTTCCCCTCAGAGCAGCTGGTGGATTCAAACCACAAACCTTTGGATCAACTCAACTCCTTAAAACTAGACAACCAGAACTCCCTATGAGCAATGTTGATAAGAATATGTTGACCTGGAACTTTTGCAAGTGTGCACGCTGGGTTTAGAAGAGGCCGTGGTACTAGCGATATTCTAGCTAATGTTAGATGGATCTTGGCAGAAAGCAAAGAATACCAGAAGAACGTCTGTCTGTGTTGCATTGACTATGCAAAGGCTTTTGACTGTGTGGATCACAACAAATTGTGGCTGACTCTGGGAAGAATGGGAATCCCAGAACATTTGATTGTGCTCATGTGAAACTTATACTTGGACCAAGAGGCAGTCGTCAGAATAGAGGAAGGAGAAACTGCCTGGTTCAAAATTGGGAAGGGTGTTCGCCAGGGATGTATTCTGTCTCCATACTTTTTCAAACTGTATGCAGAACAGATTATCCAGGAGGCTGGGCTCTATGAGGAGAAATGTGGCATCAGGATCTCAGGGAGATTCATCAACAATCTGCGTTATGCAGATGACACAACCCTGCTTGTTGAAACTGAGGAGGACCTGAAGCATTTGCTGCAGAAGATCAAGGACTGCAGCCTTCAGTATGGATTGAAGCTCAACATCGAGAAAACAAAGATTCTCACCACTGGGCCATTTGGCAGGATCATAGTGGATGGTGAAGAGATTGAGATTGTTAGCAGTTTGCTTGGCTCCACAGTCCATACGCTTGGTAAAAGCAGCCAGAAAATCAAGAGACAAATTGCATTGGGAAAGTCAGCTGTCAGGGACCTCTCCAGAGTACTGAAGAGCAATGAGGTCAGGCTGGAGACTAAGGTACGCCTGATCCAGGCCATAGTCTTCGCAAATGCATGCTATGAATCAGAGAGCTGGACAATGACTAGGGATGATAGAAAGAGAATTGATGCCTTTGAGCTGTGGTGTTAGAGAAGAGTATTGAATATACCATGGACGGCTCTGAGAACAAACAGGTTTGTCCTAGAGAAGGTGAAGTCTGCCTGCTCCTTGGAGGCAAGAATTCTGAAACTTAGTCTGACATACTTTGGGCATGTTGCAAGGAGGCACTGGTCCTTGGAGAGGGACATCATGTTTGGGAGGGTGGAGGGACAGCTCAAGAGAGAAAGACTCTCAATGAGATGGATCGATTCAGTGACTGGGGTAATGGAAGAAGGTGTGTCAGAGACAGTGAGGTTGGCACAGGATAGAGCATGGTTTAGGGCTCTTGTAAGAGACTCAATGCATATAACAACAATAAAAATATCTAAAGTGGAACTCTGATGGCTTAGAGGGTAATACGTTGTACTGCCAGCTCAAAGGCAGGTAGTTTGATTCCACGAGCAGCTCTGTGGGAGAACGACACGCAATCTCCTTCTGCGTGATTTGTAGCCTCTGAAAACCCACTGGAGGGTCAGCTGTGAGTCAGTTCTGACTCGATGGCAATGACTTTGACTTTGAAGAGCTAAACTAATGGTATGGAAGCTTTGCGGGGTGGGGGCAGGGGGGAAGAGCTGTGACTGAGAAATCTGAGTGTTGTAAACCAAGTCCACTGGCATCCCATCAGTTCTGACTCAGGACCCTGGAGGACAGTAAGTGCCTTTTGAAGGACTGCCCCAGAGAATTTCAAAAGCTGTAGTCCTCCTTAGACTGCCACACCTTTCTATCATGGAGCATTTGTTGAGTTGAAACCACTGTTAGCAGGCCAGTGCATAAACAAAGTGCTACCGGGGCTCGGAGTCACAGATACTCTCACCTAAGCTGTGAAGTATCTGATGTTGGAGTCTGACAAACCTGTTTGTTCTCCTAGCAGTCCATGGTATATTCAACACACTGAGACAGATGCCATCCTTTGGACTAGGTGAGGATGAAAACCTAGTTTTGTTGTTACTGTGTCTTTAAACATCTCTCATCCTCATGAGATTTCATCTTAAATACAGAACTAGAATCAGATTCAAGGCTTTTCATAAACTGGTGACCACTTAAAATTGATTGAGAGGATCTTGATTTCTCTCTGTGCCTTTTGGCCTTATTTCTCCTTCAAAGTGTTTGGGGCCTCTTGATCTCTCTGCTTTTTATGGGTATGCCTTCTTTATTTAAGGAGCCCTGATGGCATAACGTATTACGTGTTGAACTGCTTACCAGAAGGTTGACAGTTCAAATCTACAAGCTGCTCCATTAGCAAAGATGAGACAATCTCTTCCCATAAAAACTTTCCCTCAGAAACCAGGTATAGGAAAGCCAGTAGTGAGTCAGAAATCTGCACCAGAGCCAGGGATTTTTTTATTTGTTTCTGTTAACTAATTTAACTTCAATTGAGTTAGAACCCACTCATGACTGACCTGAAGTGAAGGTTTCAGAAGTGAAATGAACTGGATTTTCAGAAGCTGTACATTTATTTCATGGGAGGAGGTTGCCTCTCTTTCTCCCTGGAGGCAGTTGGTAGATTTGAACTGCCACAGGAGAATCTTCTTTGGGTTAGCAGTGAACTCCCCTACAGCCTATTGCTGTTGTTGTTGTTGTATGCCATCGAATCAGAGATAACTCATAGCTGTATCTTGGCGCTAACTGAGAAGCTCTTTAGACTGAAAGAGTGTATTTTGCTGTTAGCCTGAATAACTTAACAGACTCAAGGCTTTTCATAAGCCACGGCATCCACTTCCTGAATAACTTGCCTCCAAAAACTCTATGAACTTTGATGAATGTCGAGGGGCTTCAGGCCTTTTGCTCATAGGATCGCTATGAGTCATGCTCGACCTGAAGACAATCAACAATAACAACAACCACCACCACAGTGACCACTTAGAATTGATTGAGAGGATCCTGAGTTCTCTCTGCTAACTTCTCAAATTATCGTCCTACTCTCAAATGTATCGCAAATGATTGGAAAGACCATGGACTGAATCAGACTCACCTTAGTCCTTAAACTGACATCAAGACTCCTCAATCATTTGGAGAGATCCCTAACTGCTGACTTCCCAGCACAATACGTCTCCTGATTTCCTGACTGCTGGGGCGAAGGATGCTAATTGTGGATCCAAGTAAGATGAAGTTGTTAGCAGTTTCAGTTTTTTCTCCATCTCTCATGATGTTGCCTATCAGTCCAATGGTGAGAATTTTTGTTTTCTTAGCATTGAAATGCAATCCATATTGAAAGCTGTATTCCTTGATCTTCTCCAACAAGTGCTTCAAGTCCTCCTCACTTTCAGCAAGCAAGGTTGTGCCATCTGCACAACGCAGGTTATTGTTGAGTCTCCCTTCAATCCTGATGCCACACTCCTCTTCATAGAGTGCAGCTTCTCAAATAATTTGCTGAACATGCAGATTGAAGGTATGGAGAGAGAACACAACCCTGATACACTCGCTTCTTAATTTTCAACCATGTGATGTTTCCTTCCTCTGTTGGAACAACAGCATCCTGATCTAGGTATAGGTTTTGCATGAGCACAACTGAGTGCTTGGGATTCTTTCTGGTGTTGGAGAAGAGTGTTGACCTTCTCATTGACTGCCAAGTGAACAAACAAATATATCTCAGGGAGGGTGCAGCCTGACTGCTCTTTGGAGTAAAAAATTATGAGGCTTCGCCTCACATACTTGGGGCATGTTGCTAGAAGAGGCTATTCCTTGGAGAGGGGCATGAGACTCAGAAGGCTAAAAGGGTCGATGAAAGAAAGGAAGATCTTCAACCAGGTGGATTGACACGGTGACTGCTCCAGTGGGCTCTGATGTGTCAGGAAGTGTAAGGATGGCACAGGATAGGAAAGGATTCAGATCTGTTGTTCGTGGATTGCCACGAGTTATACTCAATTTGACAGCACCTAATAACAACAACCACTTCCCTGATAAACTCCATAACCATGAGTATGATTCTGTGAAGTCAGAGTGGTCACTGCAATGGATGTTGGTCCCACTTAGTAGGTGCAGAAGCATGAGTTAGGGAGTTAGTTAATAGAAATAAATACACAATATAAAAATCCACAACAGCTTCTCAAAAGAAAGATGGCAGTCTCCTCCCATGCAATTCACTGCCTCTGAAGACCCTCTGGAGGGTCTGCTATGAGTTGGTTCTGACTTGATGGTACATAACAACCACTAGCTGTCATAAAAAACAAAAATGAAAATGTTATTGCTGAATGCACCTGGCAAGTGTAAATGATTGTTACTGCATGAATGTTAAAAATTATTAGTGTATTTTATGTGTATTTTATTTTAATGTAATGTTAATGTTTTCCTAGCATAGCACCTTGTAAGTGTGCTACAAGGACAGCTTTTAAAAAATCTTTTTTTTTTACATTGGTTTGCTTACAAAGTTCATATGCATTTTGGTTCACACTCTTCTTCATCCACATTGTTTCATACTTTCTCATGCGTTATGTTTTATAAAATCAGTCACCATTGGACCTTACCCATCATTACCCTGTCTTTTCACTCAGATCCTTCCCATTTGCTTCCCCCTCCTCAGCACCAAATTGTGTAACACTGTGGTTATCTATCCTCGTCCCCTCATTCCCCCTTCCACTCTTTGAGTGTATGTATTTTACTAGTTACTCTTCTATTTTTACAATAATGGTCCTATGTGGTATTTGTCCTTATGAGACTGAGTTAGTTCACTCAGCATAAATCTTTTTTAAATTAAGGAAGCAAACTCTTCAATTCTTTTTTTTCTGCTCTGCTTGTATGGTCGTGTAGGCTGGACACCGGCCCCCAAATCCTGCGTTCTGGTGGGTTGATGGAAAGGGAGCAGAGGTCAAGTGGAGTTTTGAGGAGCTGGGGAGACAGTCCCGGAAGGCAGCCAATGTGCTCAGGGACGCGTGTGGCCTGCAGCCTGGGGACAGAGTGATGCTGGTGCTCCCGCGGATCCCAGAGTGGTGGCTGGCAAGCGTGGCATGTATGCGGACAGGTCAGTGAGCAGGGTCCACTGAGGGCTGCATCACCCAGCAGAGGGTTTGAGTTGGGGAATGGGGCAAAATGAACTCTATGGGGAGTTTCCCCCAGCTCTTCCTTGCCCCTAGATCCCAAACTGGATTGGATACAAGAACCAAGCAGTGAAATAAATCACTGTAGGTCAAATGTGATGCTGTAGGGAGTGGTGAGGCCTGTGCTTCACACGCTTCGTGTCACAGGGGCAGCTGCTTCTCAGCTCCTGTCAAATTGACATGACCACCGTGGATTTATCTTTTTCACCTCAGGCATTCCAACCTTCTCCAGCCCCTTTCTGGCTGGATTTCCTAAGGGACACTGGCTCTGGGCTTCTGCCCAGGGATCTTTCTCTTGCCCTCATCATCTACCCAGCCATCATCTCCTCTCTGTTTGGTGTCAGGGGCTGTAATGATCCCTGGTGTCTCTCAGCTGACTGAGAAGGACCTCCAGTACCGGCTGCAGGCATCCAGGGCCAAGGCCATTATCACCAGTGACTCCCTGGCCCCGAGGGTGGATGCCATTAGTTCAGACTGCCCCTCTCTCCAGAGCAAGATGCTAGTGTCAGATGGCAGTCGGCCAGGCTGGATGAACTTCAGAGAACTCCTCAGGTAAGGTGGGGTTCCCCAGAAGAAGGGGTCCAACAATGAAGCCAAGGAATTTTCCTTGCACACCAGAAAATAAAGCAGAGAGGAACATTCACTTTGGCAGCCAATAACCTGAGGCCTAATGCTACTAACCACGTTAACGTTATTCTAAATCGCTAGATCACTCAGTGCTGGCTTTTCTGGGCTTCATTTGTCACTATGAGAGTAAGAATCCTTTTTCAAAGGCCATTGCTGTCAGGTCCAACTCACCTTTTATCTTAGAAGACAATTAACTAGAAGGAATTCATATATATGTCCATTCCAAAAGAAAAGGATTCAACAGAATAGAAATTATCAAACAATATCATTACGAGCAGATGCAAGCAAAGTTTGCTGAAGATAATTTTTAAAAAAATGGTTACAGCAGTACATTAATAGGGACTGCCAGAAATTCAAACTGGATTCAATACAGTGCAGGAAACACAGGATAAAATTTCTGATGTCCAGGAGATCTGAGCTAAAAGCAGAGAATACCAGAAAAATATTTACTATGCGCAGACCTTCAACTGGAACGTAGTAAACTATGGGTTGTGTGACATCTAACAACAGCCTATAGATAGGTGGAAAAGGGGGGATTTTGGTGCCATAGACTGCAGGGAGTTACAGTGACAACCCAAAGGTGGTGCCTTTCTGGTGATATATGAAGACAACCTCCTCCCATGTGACTCACAGGCTCTGAAAACTTGCTAGAGTCAGCTATTCTGACTTCTATGCAGTGCAAGCCACATCATTTCCCATATACCCAGATATAGATCATGGCTGTATCCAGATTAAAGATACTGCATCCCTTCCTAATTCTCTCATATGAGGACCAAGGCTGATCAGATCAGACCACATCATGAGAGATAACTACATCATTACATAATTGCCAATTTACATAAATACCAAACTGGAGAATCATGGCCAAATTGACACAGAATCTTAACCATTGTAGTGATCTACCAGAAACTCTTCATGCCCAGGCAAAACAGTATGGGCTTTTTGTTCTGTAATATTGCCAGTTGAAGCTTAAATTTCCTTATATGTAATAAAGTTATACTAAAACAAAACAACAAAAGCAAATAAAAAAAAATGAAAACAAGAAGACAAAAAGAAACCACAAAATAAAAAACAATCAACCAACAAAACAAAAAATAGAGTCACACTGCCAGTACCCAACAAACAGTTTCAGGAAATAGAGATGATGCAAACTGGAGCTCTCCACACAGTGCCCGACTTGTTGTTAGGTACTGTCAAGTCGAGTACGATTCATTGCAACTCTATGATCAAAAGATCTGGACCCTGTTCTATCCTGTGACATCCTGTCACTTCCTGACACACAAGAACCCATTGCAGCAGTCACCGTGTCAATACACCTGGTTGAAGGTATTTCTCTCCTTCGCCAGCCCTCCACCCTTCCCAGCATCATGTCCTTCTCCAAGGAGTAGCCCCTCCTAGCAACTATCCGAAGTACCTGAGGTGCCCAACTAGCAGTATTCATTTAGATAACCGCCAGTGTTGTTGTTATTATTGTTACTGGTTTTCTTGTAATCACTGATATTCTTCGCATTTTCAGAGAAGCATCCACAGAGCACAACTGTGTGAGGACCAGGAGTCGAGACCCACTAGCCATCTACTTTACCAGTGGTACCACCGGAGCCCCCAAGATGGTTGAACACTCCCAGTGCAGCTACGGTCTGGGTTTTGTGGCCAGTGGAAGGTACTGGGATAACTTTCCTGATGGATGCAAGACACAGAATGTAGGCCAGTAAACTGGAGGAGTGAAAATGAGGAATAGAGTGGCAGGAGTTGCAGTCAGAGAGCTAACAATAAGGCAACGCTAGTAGAATGTTGGAGACTTTGGTTTTCACCCTAAGTGAGGTAAGAAGTCATTGGAGGATTTTAAGCCAATAAGATATGGTGTGCTCTGATTTGGGTTTTTTTTTAAGCCTCAGTTAGGATTCTTGGTTAATAATTCACTGTAGGAGGTAAAAGAAGAGGCAGGAGATCATTACACTGAGAGGCTATTGTAGTAAGAGATGAGGGTGATGACTTGCCCAGAGCAATAACAAGGCGATAAAAACGAGCAGAAGCGAGATTCTTAATGTATTCTGAAGACAGATCTAATAAGTTTTGCAGACTGATCTGATGGGGGGACGAAGGAGAAAGAGAAAAGTCAAGGGTGACCCCAAAGGTTGCGAGCAGCCAGATCAAGTGATGGAAGGAAGTCTTGTATGAGCTAATTGGTGCAAGGAAAAGGAAGAGCTCATTTTTGACACTGGAAACTTGTCATGCCTGTAACACACCTCCATACCAGTACACCAGTGGCTACCAAGTCAGTTTCCACTGATTGTGAACCCCTGTGTGTCGGTTTGAGGTACCTGATAGACATCTCTTTACCAATAAACCAGTTGCTGTCAAGTCGATTCCGACTCATGGTGACCCCATGTGGCTCATTGAAGATCTGTAGGCTTCACAGGGCTTTTGTTAGCTGGTTTTCCAGAACATCGCCATGTCTTTTTTCCAAGGAACCTCTGAGCAGACATCAACCTCTCACATTTTAGTTAGCAGCCAAGTACGTTAACTGTTCACACCACTCAAAGAAGCTAGACATCTCCATGGCCATAGTTAAGAGTGGAGGTGTGTGGCAGACAGGTGAATGTTGTTGTTATGTGCCGTCGAGTCACTTGCGACTCATAGCGACCCTATGTACAATAGCCCTAAACTCTGCTCTGTCCTGTGCCAATCGCACTGTCTCTGATACACCCATCCTGATTACCCCAGTCACTGAATCAATCCACCTCATAGATGGCCTTCCCCTCCTGTGCTGTCCCTCCACCCTCCCAAGCATGATGTCCCTTCTCCAAGGACCGGTCCCTCTTTACAACATGTCCAAAGTATGTTAGATGGAGCCTCAGAATCCTTGCCTCCAAGGAGCCACCTGGTTTAACCCTTTCCAGGACAAATCTGTTTGTTTTCCTAGCAGTCCATGGTATTCTCAATACTCTTCTCCAGCACCACAGCTCAAAGGCATCAATTCTCCTTCTATCCTCCTTGGTCATTGTCCAACTCTCTGATGCATAACAAGTGATTGTGAAGACCATAGCCTGTATCAGACACACCTTAGTCTCCAGAGAGACACCATTGCTCTTCAGTACTTTGGAGAGGTTAATAATAGCAGACTTTCCCATCGCAATACATCTTTTAATTTCCTGGCTACTGGTGCCAAGAGTGGGAAAATTTGTGAAAGCTGAAAGCAATGTGAAAAGGAAACCTGTCAGAGAAGGGAAACTCAAATATTTCCAACTAAAAGAAGCATGAGAGAGGTGATAAGATTGCACCTTGTCAAAGGCAGAAGGCTTGTGAGGTCCCCTGGACAAAACCAAGACATTCTGTCAAGTTCTAGCTCTCACTGCTTTCACTGTACATGTCTCAAAGTTAATGAGCAAGGTGCATACTGTAGTTCTCATCAGCTATAAGGTATTTAAAGCCATGACCTTGGTTGAGACTGTCAAGGAGTAGTGCACAGTGAAAGAAGAGGTCTAAGGCCTGAGCATCTGGGGCATTTCAATGCTGGAGAGAGAGGAGAGGAGATTTAGCAGAGGACATTGAGAAGAGTCAGCCAATGGGTACGTGGAACTGGGAAAGCCTGTGTCCCAGGATTCACGTTCAGGGCTTGGCCATTTTTCTGTCCTCCATGTTTGCAGAAACTAATTCCCTCCCCTTGGGGTTCCCTTCTTTTTCTGTCTCATTCATGTAACTCTTGTACATCATTTAAAACTCACTCAAGTTTTATCTCCTCTACAATAGCATTTCAAAGACCTCATCTTTACCTTGATCTGGGTTAGATGTCCATTTTCTGTGATTGCATAAGACTCTGTGTTTCATCTACCATAGTATGCTCTTGCGGAACTTCTTAAATATTTATGTGTCTTGGACTATAAGCTTCTTATACTTAAATCAGTTGTTTATAATGCATTACATGTCATCCTGCCAAACGAAAGGTCTTTGTTTCAAACACACCAGTTGCTCCTTGCAAGAAAGATGGCCAGTCTCCCGTAAAAATTTATAGCCTTATAAATGCAATGGATGGTGCATATTGTTCAGAATTTACCCTACAGCAATAAGTAATGTCAAGCTCAAATCAGGTGCTAAATAAATGTTGGCTGGATAAGCAAAGTATACTTATCATATTAAGTTGTTTCCTCATATATCACTCTCACTAGACTGGTGGTCTGGTGGGCAAAGATTGCGATGCTAACCCAGTATGAAAGCGCTTGCTCCCAGGAAAAAGATGAGCAATCTCCTCCCGTACAGTGTTCAGTCAGCTGGAAGGTCAACTCTGAGTCTGTTCCAGCTTGACAGCAATGAGTTTGGGTTTACGTGAACTCCTTAAAAATGAGAAGCTTTAAAAATAATAATAATAGATAGATAGATAGATAAATTTTTTTTTTTAAATGAGAAGCTTGTCTTTTAAATTCTGTACTCCCAGTCTAAAACATAGGTACCAAGAAGGTGCTTGATGAATATTTCTTGAGCAAATGAGAGACTTCATGGTTCTTTTCCAGATTTGACCCATGTCTAATAAGAGCAGGCTTTCAATTAATGCTTCTGTAAAACTGAAGGAGTCCTTTATCTAAATAGAGGCATTTCTGAGAATGCAGATTTTCTTTCCCTGCAGGCGGTGGGTGGCCTTGACGGAATCAGACATCTTCTGGAACACGACTGACACTGGCTGGGTGAAGGCAGCCTGGACCCTCTTCTCAGCCTGGCCCAATGGGTCTTGCATCTTTGTGCACGAGCTGCCCCGTGTTGATGCCAAAGTTATCCTGAATGTAAGAAACAATATCACCTCTTACGTGTTGAGTGTAGATAAGTGGAGAGTAGATTTCAAGCTTGCAAGAGAAAAGACATGAACCTTTGACCAGAAAGCTTGCTGGGTGTTAATCTTAGCTAGCAAGGTCCTAAAACCATCCATAATCTGGACCTGTTGGCTTGGCTACCTTGAACTGTGCCTATGCTCCAGCTAGATCCCCAGACATGACACTGTTTCATGCTTCCAAATTTTCACATATCACACTTCCTCTGCATGGGATGCCTCCCCTCCTCCACTTTTCTCCTGTGTTCCTGCCAGAACTTTGTTTTTCAAAATCCTGAATTAAATCCTAATCTACTCCCTAACTCACTGTCCACTGGAATGAGCATGTTTATTTTGCTTACCTAAGGAGTGCTGGTGGCCTGGTGGTATTAAACTGTGCTGTAATCCCAACGAAACACAGTTCAAATCCACCAGCTGCTCTGAGGGAGAAGAATGGACAATCTTTTCCTGTGAAATTTACTGCCTCTGAAAACCCGCTGGAGGGTCAGCTATGAGTCAATTCCGACTGGACAGTACACAACAGGGCACTTGGGTGGCCTGCTGAGTTGAGAGTTGCATGCTAACATAAAGATGGTGCCTCTCTGATGGTTCAAATCCACCAGCATTTCTGAGAGAAAAAGATGGACAATTTCCTCATGTTAAATTTAGAGAATCCAAAATCCCTCTGGAGTGGATTCTTGCTTGACAGCAATAAGTTGAGCTGTTTGGGTGTTGGTTTTGTTTGTTTGCTTGTTTGTTTGTTTTAATCTGGAGCCCTGCTGCCATAATCCATAGGGAGTTGTGCTGTCATCCCAAAAGTGGTGCCTCTCTGGTGGTTCAAATCCACTGGTTACTCCAAGAGAGAAAGATAGGCAGTCTTTTCCCATGAGATTTATAACCTTCCGAAAAATGTGCAGGAAGGTTAGCTATGAGTCACTCAACCACAATGAGTAATGATTCCTGACTAGCCTTCCAAGACTTTCTCATTGGAAAAGGAGAAGAATCAATGCCCCAGTGAAGACATTGACATTTTCTTTCTACCTTCCATACAATAACCACCATTCCTTAAAACTTCAGACATTGTACCTGCCTGCACTCTTTGCCTTGAGGCAGATTGTACCACATAGCAGTTTGTAGTGTAGGTTGTGCAATCATTCAGACCCAGCCTCTTATCCAGATCTTTTATTTGTTACCTGTGGGCCCTAGAAAAGTCGTATCACTTCCCAAAGCTTCTATGTCTTTATCTATAAGAAACCAATAGCTTATTTTTATAGTGCCCTTGTGAAAATGAAATGAATTCATGTATTTAAAGTGCTCAGCACAGGGCCTGATGCATAGGTGCATAGTCAATTCGTAATACATATTGATTAATAATTACCATTGTCAGATTCACCATCACTACTGTTCTCATGGACTTTATTAGCAAGTGTGTACCTTCTCTCCTCCTTGTCCCAGTTGTGACATTCTGTATTGGTTATCTATTGCTGTAGAGAAAAGTTACACCCAAAGTCAGGAATTTAAAACTTAATTCGTATTATCTCATGGGTTCTGAGGGTCAGGAATCTAGAAGTAACTTAGCTAGGTGGTTCAAGGTCAAGATCTCTACTGAGGTTGCAGTTAAAGTGATAGCCAAGTCTACAGTCATCTCCAAGTCTACTGAGGCTTGATATCTGCATAAGTATCATGTGTATAATTGTTGCCATTGATTTTTAATTTCTGTTGAGTTGATTCTGACTCTTGGCAAATCCGTAAGATTTTGAAGGATGTGACTTTTTAAAAAAAATATTATTTTATATTGGTTTGCTTACAAAGTTTTTATACATTGTGTTTCACACTATTTTTCATTCACATTGTGAACATAAATACTCAAGCCATCTCTGGCAAGTTCCACCTCAGGGACTCTAAGATGGCCTTTCAATCTTTGTTTTGGTTTAGACTCTCTCCCAGTTCCCAATCACCACCCTCTGCTGTGTCCCAACCATCTACCGGCTGCTTGTACAGGAGGATCTGACCAGGTACAGCCCATCTGTTTGGTGCTTTCGGGGCCCAAGTATGTGAATACATGCCACAGTCCCTACAGTGTGCCAATACCCACCTTCTTATTCCCTCTTTGTCCCTCTCTCTCCCTTCATCCTTTTTCCCCACTTTCTCTCTCTTACTCCCTCTCTCTCATATAATTCCTACAGAAACACTCAAGTACACATACTCCTTAAGAAAACAAGCTCATTCACACAAACACACACACATACACACTCCTCAGGAATAACTTCTGCTGGATCGAAATAGATTAAGACTTTAGGGAGCCTGACATTTCCATGCTTGAGGTGAGCTGTCTCCTTACATACATCCCTGGGGCATCTCACCAGCAATGTGTTACTTTCATGAGGTTAGAGAAAGTGTCAGGTAATCATCAAACAACTATGGAAGGTGTCTTATAACTTGAGCCATTTATATTGTCTTTTGGGACCCACAAGTTACCGCAATGGAGGTCAAATCCCCTAGATTCTTTAGGTCTAGAGAACTCCAGTCCAGGCCATTACCAGTTTGGGCAACCCCAAAGCAACATCTTCTGGCAAAACATGGCTAGTTGCTTGAACATGCAGACGGGGACCCAACTCCTTTTACCAACCCATATATCCTGTTCTATCTCTCATTTCCTAAGTCGTAGAGAATCTTCTCTGATTACATGTATTTAAGCATGCCTAAACTACAAATTTCTTTCATAAGACTCAAGATACACTCCCCACTCATTGATCTATGTATCTCCACATCATGATTTTGCATAGGCAAGTTCTGGGCAGTTTATTCAAGAAAAAAATGATTGAAAGGTACATGATAATACAAAGTCATTCCAGCAAAACCAATTTGATACAATGAGGGGAATGGTTAAAATATTATCATTGCAATCATTGGTTTCCCGTCAGTAATTTAACCAATAATTGATTAAGTAAAGGATAATTTGTATAGCTTATTTGGTATCTTTAGGGATTTGGGGTCCATTTTTCAAAATTTGGGGTTCCTGAGAGGGATAGTTGTTGTTGTTATGTTTTATCTAGCTTATAAATCATTCATCTTTTTGAACCAAATTGTTGTCTTTGCTCATTTACTATTAACCAGTTTGTTTCTAATGAAACTCTTGGTAAATTTGTGTGGATCTCCTCAGGTTATGTCTAAGTCTAAAATGAGTGAGGTTCTGATTTGATTGTAACCTCAGGTAGGATTGACTTTGTTGAAATTATCCATTCGGGGAACATAAATCAGGCAATCCAGGCACTTAGAAAAGATAATAAAACATTGGCATTGAACTCCAGTATTTTGAGAAGGGCCCAGCATCTAGTCTCAGGACAATGGTGCTGGGGGACAGGATAAGGTGGGGCCCTGATATGAACACCTCGTTTCCTGGTTGAGAAAGGTACCAGTTTCAGAGTCTGAGGCACTGTTTGACGGGAGGGGAGTTCCTCAATCCTGACGTGAGAGAAAAGTGGAAGAGCCAAAAGGGCCTGGAGCTGCATGAAGGATACGGCCAGTCGGAAACAGTGAGTGCTGGTGGTCTGGGTTCCCTTCCTATATTCTCTTTCCTCAGCCAGCAAGTACTGTCTGCTGGCCTGCAGCCCCTCCGGCCTGCCTGGCCTTACCTCAGAGAGGCTGGCTGCCAGGGAGACAAGCTGGTAACAGAATAACATCAGATCTTCTGTCCTTTTGATATAAAACCATGATTTTAAAAGCAAAGGAAAGATTTCTACACTGGTGCAATCATTCTTGAGTGGTTGCCAGGGATGAAAAGGGAGAGAGAGGGGAGGAAAAAATAAATAAATAGCTAAATAGAGTGAAAGGAAATATACAATTAGAAGTTTATCAGACATTGTCATTAATTATCTGCTGTAATTAGTTCTAAAACAAAATGTGCATGATTGATCGAATGAAATGCAATTAAAATGTTTAAATATAAATTACACGTGAGAAAGATAAGCAAGTTTCTGACAATTCACTGGAGGGTCAGCTGTGAGCCAGTTTTGACATGACAGCAATGAATTTGAGTTGAGTTTGAATATAAGAGAATATATATATAATCACATGAAAAGTCATTATGGCTTATAAATTTTCACTCAAAAAAATAAAATTAATAAAACCAAAGAGTAAATTACAGCTCTTAGACCTTGCTGCTGCTGCTGCTGCTGTTGTGCTGTCCAGTTGGAACTAGCCCAAAGCTGACTCTCCAGTGGGTTTTCAGAGACAGTAAATTGCACAAGAGGAGAATGCCCATTCTTCACCTTCAGAGCTGCTGACGGCCTTTAGAATTGAAGTGCAGCTTCTTACCACTAAGCCCCAGAGCTGTTACTGTTGGTTGTTCCCGAGTGTACAGAGTAGAGCTGAGCTCGGGAGGGTTTGCAAGGCTGCAACCTTCAGGAAGCAGATCACCAGGCCTGTCTTTGGAGGCACCTGTCGGTGGATTCAAACCATCAAACTTCCAGTTGATTGTCAAGCATTTAACCATTTGTGCCACCCACAGGGCCCAATGGCCTGCTAAATGAAAATATTCATAGAAAGGAAAACATAGCAAATTCGGGAGTTGTTTTTTTAGTTGCTTGAGCTTCAAAACCACTTGAGATCTGAGAGAGAGACTGTGTAGATATTTGTGCAGTTGGAGTAAATCTCCTGTGAGAAGGGCTTGAAAAGACAGGATTTTAAAAGCCAGGGGGTTTAAAAACTTAATGCTGCTTTCTTTCACAATTACACCATGGCCTGCAAGTTTGGCAACTAACTCTCATGGCCAGGGGTATTTATCTTCAACAGGACAGCCAACAACTACGTGTGATCAGGGTCCAGGATCCTAAGCAGGGACCCTTAAGCTGTGCAGGTAGATCTCAATTGAGTCATTGGGTTTAGTGACGTGCTGAGTCTGTTACTTGTGTGTGCCCATTAAAGTCTTCAGTAAACAAATGCTGATTATAGAAAGGGAAACAAGAAGGAAGGAAGATGGTGGGAAAGTGAGGAAGAGAAGGAAGAGGGGAGAGAGAACAAGTGTTGGGAGGAGAGATACAAAGGTAAGCACGGAATTGGAGGGAAGGAGGGAATATTCTCTTCCTTACTGGACTCTCTGCAGGTTGTCATCTGTGCCAATCCAAGAGGAGGAAAAATCAAAACGGGGTCCATGGGCAAAGCGTCCCCACCTTACGACGTGCAGGTAGGAAGCCTCTTCGCAATGCTGGCTGTGAGGCTTGTTTTGAGGAAGAAAAAGCCGTCCACCTCAGAGTTAGTAAGACCCGGCCTGGCTGCTAGGGTGGCCTGGCTGTGGGGACCTCAGATTCTCCCACCCCCTGCAATCTCCCTGCCAGGTTGTGGATGATGAGGGCAACATCCTGCCTCCGGGAGAAGAAGGGAATGTTGCTGTTCGCATCAAGCCTGCCCGGCCCTTCTGCTTCTTCAACTGCTATTTGGTAAGAGAGAGGGGGAAATGGCGATTCTCGGAGAAATTGCTATTTGCCAACCATTGCCCTCCACCATTTATAAGCTTCTATTTGTTCAAGCCTTACAATACCTGCATGAGGGAAGGTGGTACTTGTATTGACAAAGGAAAGGAAGCTGGGAAGGTAATTTGCCTGATGTCACCCACCTAGTAACTGACTCCCCCAGGAAAACTCAAACCTACTGACATCATGCATCACTCAGGACGAGCTTCTACTGGGTTTCTAAAATTTTCCTGGTAGCAAACTGCCCTCGTCTTCCCTTTGCAGGGTGGCTGGTGGATTTGAACTGCCAACCTTTCCATTAATATCCCAATATGCTACCAAGTTCCTTAGAACCTGCAAGAGGATGTCAGATTTACACACACCTGTGGTAAGATGGTGGATCAGGTGATTTAAACTCATCTACTGAAGTAAGGGTTAGTAGTTAGAACCTACTCATTGATGCCATGAGGGGGCACTGGTGGCCTAGTGGTGAGGAGCTGTGCTGCCGACACAAAGGCAGGTGGTTTGAATCCACCAGGTGCTTCTGTGGGAGAAACAAAAGCAATCTCCTTCTATGCAATTTACAGCCTCTGAAAACCTGTTGAAGGGTCACATATGGGTTAGTTCAACTTGATGACACACAACAATAATAACAACTGGTGCCGTGATAAAAAGGCCTGATGACCTGCTTCCAGAAAGATTATACCTCAATAAATGCATTGCTATCAAGTCAGAACCAGTGAAAGCTGACCCTCCAGTGGACTCTTGAAGCTGGGAATCAAGTAGGAGGATGGAGCCACTGTTGGATTCCAACTGTCCAAGGGGTTCCCAAAGGTTGCCGTTGGGTCAGCAACATGACTCACTATGGACTGTGCCACCCAAAAAATACCACACAGTGCAGTTCACACAGTATACAGAGTCCAGTTCACACAGTACAGAGTCCAGTTCACACAGTAAATATAGTATGGTTCACACAGTACAGGTAGTATAGTTCACACAGTACACATAGTAGACACAGTACAGTACACACAGTACACATAGTACAGTTAACATAGTACACATAGTACAGTACACACAGTACATATAGTATGGTTCACACAGTACAGGTAGTAGAGTTCACACAGTACACATAGTACAGTTAGCATAGCACACATAGTACAGTTCACACAGCACATATAGTATGGTTCACACAGTACAGGTAGTTCACACAGTACACATAGTAGACACAGTGCAGTCCACACAGTACACATAGTACAGTTAACATAGTACACATAGTACAGTTCACACAGTACACATCGTATGGTTCACACAGTACACATAGTACCTACAATACAGTTCACACAGTACAGTTCACACAGTACACACAGTACAGTACACACAGTACGGTTCACATAGTTGACATAGTACACATAGTATAGTTCACACAGTACACATAGTACCTACAATACAGTTCATACAGTACAGTTCACACAGTACACATGGTACACACAGTACAGTTCATACAGCACACATAGTACAGTTCACACAGTACACATAGTATGGTTCACATAGTAAACGCAGTAAAGTTCACACGGTACACCTAGTACACACAGTACAGTTCACATGAGGTCACTATAAGTTTAAATCCAATCAGCAATGGGTTTGGTTGGTTGAGTTTCAGCGTCTCACAGTGCAGACCTCACCTGTGCGATCGTGAATCGGAGCTCTGACTTCCTCGCTCACATCCATCAAATCCCTCTGTTCACAGCTTGCTCCTTTGAGTGCTGCATATGTACAAAAATACCTGTTTGACCATCCCCTGCTCACAGACATCACCCGTACAGCTTTCCCCACATCGCTGCCGTTTTTGTGTACATCATGACAGAACTGACCCAATGCTGACCCTCCGGCAGCTTTTCAGAGGCAGTAAATTGCACGAGAGGAGATTGCCCATCTTTCTCCGGAGGAGCAACTGGTGGATTCAAACCAGAATCTTCGGGTTGGCAGCACACTTCTTTTGACTAAGCCACCATTTCTTCACTAAGAGTTTGTCTTTGTTTCTATCTAGAAATATATATGTGTTCTGTAAATGAACCACACTTTATCACTTCTCTCACATATAATGAATTTGTTTCCATTCATTGACCATGGTATTACTGTTTTGTGATCAAATAAGTGTCTCAGAGCACACATATTAAAGTTGTTTTCCAAACTATTTCCACTGTGGGAAAAAAAAATTAACTTTTAATTGAGAGGCTGTTGAATTTTTAGCTAATGGGTCTGTAAATATTTAACCTTGCAGGAAATTATTCAATTTTGCTAAGGTGGTTATACCAGTTTACAGTCCTTGGGAATCCTGAGGGCAGTTTACCACAGGCCCTGGCCTCTTATGGTCACATTCAGTGCTAGTGAATATAACGATTGGGTCCTGCTGACAAAGCAATTTAGGAACTAGACCCACAAATGCCTATAAATTTGACGAAGAAGTATTTCTATGTGCTGAAAATGTATACACACAGAACATGTTGTCGTTGTATGTTGTTGAGCCGGTACAACTCACAACTCACAGCTGAGGCAATAAATTCCATGGTAGGAGACTGCCCATCTTCCTTCCCTTGGAGAAGCTGGTGGATCTGAACTGCACGCCTTTGGGTTGGCAGTGTGATTCTTTGCCACTAAGACACCAGAGCTTATACAGAGCATATAGGGAGCAAAGTTATAAAAACTCCTCAGCTATAATAGATACCTTGAAGGAATTAATCACTGGACCTGTGCACAAAGGATCACAGGCTCAGGGGACATCAAGATCATTTGGCATAATAACATAGTCCATTAATTCATCTTACATGGATTTAAAATCATTGCTCATAGTAGTAGCATTCAACAAATCAAAAGAGGTAATTGCATTGGGAAAATCTGCTGTCAGGGATCTCTCTCAAATGCAAGGTTCTCCGTTTAAAGACTAGGATACACCTGATTCAAACCATGGTATTTCTAGTTGCTTTGTACACATATGAAAGCTGGTCATTGAACAAGCAAGACCAAAAGAACCAATGCCTTTTGGATTATGGTATTGGTGTTGTGAGACACCACTGAGTCAAGTATGACCCATAGCTACTTATGAACAACAGATATGAACCCTGTCCTAACCTGTGCCATCCTCACACTTCCTGACACACTAGAGCTACTGTGGCTGTCACTGTGTCGATCCATCTGGTTGAGGATCTTCCTCTCTGGTGCCAACCCTCCACCCTTTCATGTCCCTTTTTTGAGGAATAACCTCTCCTAACAATATGTCCAAAGTATGTGAGGCAAAGCCTTCTCATCTTTACCTCCAAGGGAGCACTTTCTCCAAGACATATCTGTTTGTTCTCTTGGCCATCCATGGGATGTTCAGTGCTCTTCTCCAACACCACAGCTCAAAGGCATCAATTCTTCTTCTGTCATCCTTATTCATTGTCCAGATTGCAGATGCATAGCAAGACCACGGCCTGAATCAGATGCATCTGAGCTCCCAATCGGACATTATTGCAATCAAGGACCCCTCCAATTAATGAGGAGCAATGCTGTCAGTTTTGAGATGTTGGTGAAGAGTATTAAATATCCCACAAAATGCCAAAAGAACAAACAAATTTGTCTTGAAGAAAGTGCAAGGGTGCTCATTAGAGGCAAGAATGATGAAACTTCATCTCATATACTTCGGGCATGTGGTCAGGAGGGACCAGTTATTGGAAAAAGATGTCATGCTGGGAAAGGTGGAGGGTCAGAGAAAGACAGGAGACATGTCTTCCTTTCTCACAATAGCGGGCTTTTCAGCGCTCCCTTCCTTTTTTTACCTTTAGTGATTCTGACAGTAAAGGGTCTTTTTACCTTTAGGGATTCAGACTGTAATAACCTAAAAACAAGTCCAGTCATCTCATGCCCACTTTTATGCGTTAAAGGTGCTTCTCAGGACCCCTCCGAGAGGTGACGGTGGGTGACTTCCCTTCGTTATTTCCTGGTAGCTTTTAATCTTCTAAATAAGAGGAGAAACTAGATTTCCCTGGCTCACGCTCCCTTTTGGAGAGGGAATCCTGGCCAGTCCAGGCTTTGAAATTTGCTTCACTTCCTGCCCAAGAGGTCCTTTCCTACCCCTCGGATCAGCTTGGGCTGATTTTGCCTTTCAGGAAAATCCCGAGAAGACAGCCGCCTGTGAACAGGGCAGCTTTTATATCACAGGCGACCGAGCCCACATGGATGAGGATGGCTACTTTTGGTTCATGGGAAGAAATGACGATGTGATCAATTCTTCAAGGTCAAGCTCTCTGCTAACTTTCTCCCTCCTTCTGAGGCTCCTCTGGGGTTAGGGGAGGGAGAGCCCTAGAAGAATCTATTTATTTAATTTTTTTTCTTTCTTTTCCAGCTACCGGATTGGACCTGTTGAAGTAGAAAGTGCCCTTGCTGAGCACAAGGCTGTCCTGGAATCTGCTGTGGTCAGCAGTCCGGATCCCATCAGGGGGGAGGTAACCAAGCCACCAAGGGCATAGTCTCCTGGTTCTATATTCATTAGCAAGAGGCAGGTGTAAATTGTTGACAGAGTCTGTATGCTGGTATGGTTAAGAATTAGAATGACAAGAAAAGCTTGGAAAAA